CGTATACTAAATAAGACCTAGCCGTGCTCATGCAAGCAACCCAATTAAGCAGGAAATCACAAATAAAAGAGATGAAAATAGGAGGGGTCTCCCTGGGGAAAGAGAGTTTGGTGGGAGGAGGAGGGGGACTTAAGAGAGAATAGTGGGGATATGACCAAGTACTATAATACGTTCATGAATGATGAAGGAATAAAGACTTTAAAAGTACTTGATCTGTTTACCAACTATAGACCCTTTGTCTGCATCTATCTTGTCCTCAAAGTTTGGAGCTCTTCTCCTCACCAAGGTGTGCGTGTTCGTATCTTTGCACTCTGCTTTCTCTTTCACTACAAATCTAGGCAGCTGCAGTAAACAGCAACCATACCGCAGACCAAATGCCGGCTACCTTAAAATCCCTCTGCCAAGCACTTTATTCATTACCTTTAATTCACCCTTAGTCAGATTGTGAGAATGTAGACAGAAAACAGCCAGATTCTTTGTTAAGATACAGCGTGACCTCTAGTCCAGGTCCTGATAGAGTCCTATTCTCCTCTGAAAGCTCACGAGACTGATCTTTACTGTGTGCATTTCTATTAGCATTCTGGTCCTCCAGCTCCCACAAGAGTGGCCTGGTTAGCAGATCTTACAGCTAGTTTCTGGACCACCCAGCTCTAAACTCTTCTACATCCTTCCCATAAACCACTCCCGAAGGACAAGGAACCACAAGCCTGGTGTATCACAGCAGCCCTAGATTTTGCTACCAACTTTCTGGATTACTTTTGTTGTCACGGTGATAAAATACCTGTAGGAAGGGAGGAAGGGTTTCTTTTTCCTCATGGTTTGAGGGGATAAAGCCTATCATTGTGGAGAAGGCGGCTTCACTGTGGCAGGAACATGTGGCTGGATTGCCCTGGCAGCACAGGAAACAGGGAGAGCTCAGAAAGAGAGACCATGTGATAAGACCGCAAGTCTCCGCGATCTCCTCTCTCCAGTGAGTTCCATGATGTCCTAAAATGGCACCACCAGATGGGGACCAAGGGCTCAAACACCTGAGCCCGTGGAGGATGCTTTACATCCAGACTGTGACAGAGGTGATTCCTACCTCCAAACGCCATGTCCTCTTAGTAAGACAAAGACTGAAATCTCAATGCGTTGTCACCGAAGCATTGGTTAGTGCAGTGACAATGACTCCATGCATGTGGTGACTGGGGAAAAGCTGTTTTAAAAGAACTGTATGGGCTTACAAGCAGCAGAAGTTTGGAAGGCAAATGCAGAGAAGTTTAACTAACTGGAGACAGTGGTGTAAAATCCAAGCCTATGCACAGGCTGACAAGAGAGGAAAGAGCCTTTTCCAAAAGCAAGCGAGGATGACAATGTAGCTCAGAGGGAGACTACTTGCCAGTCATACTCAAGGCCCAGGGTTCAATCCCCAGCACCGCAAAAAGGCAAAAAGTAGCTGGGTGTGATGGCTCATGTCTTTAATCCCAGCACCTGAGAAACAGAGGCAGGAGGATCTTGGTGATTTTGAGACCAACCTGGTCTACATACTGAGTTGCAGCCTGGTTTACTTACATAGTAAGTTCCAGGCCAGCTAGGTCCACATAATGATAATGATACCTATCTCAACACAAATAAAACAGCAGGCAGAGGGGTGGCCACCTAAACCTGTCAGTTGGCATCAAGGGGTAAAAGGTCACGTTTCTGAGACAAAGTGAGGATGGGTGTGGATAAGGAGATGTTTGTAAGAGGAGAAAGCTGAGAGAACCGGACCCGATGGCCTTGAGGGTAGAGCCAAGTGCATCTGAGTGGGAAAGAAAGAAATGTAAGTCTGAGCCTTAGGGGAGTATTGGAGGATAAGAAACAGATGGCACTGAAGACCCAGGTGAGGTCAGAGGCCATGAACCTGTGGCAGCCTGACCTATACATGGAAGAACGCAGCCTCGATTATGTAGAAAGGACAAAAGCAAATCTAATACATGTGTACCAAGTTGGGTTTTGCTTATTCAACAGCAGTTCTCAACCTGTGGGCCGTGACCCCTTTGGTTGTCAAAAGGTCCCTTCACAGGGGTCACCCAAGACCATGGGAAACACAGATATTTACATTTATAATTCATATAGCAAAATCAGAGTTATGAAGTAACAACAAAAATACATTTATGGTTGGGAGTCACCACAGCATGAAGAACCGTATTAAAGGGTCATAGCCCTAAGGCTGAGAACCACTGACTTAGTGAGTGTTAGGGCAGCTGAAAGGTGTGATGAAACCTACTAAATCACTACTTCAGGAAAGAGAATGAAGGAAGAGAAACCTGGGAGAGCTAAGAGGTCTGGGGCTGTGAAGACCCAAGACTACTGACAGGAAACACGATGGGACCAGAATGGACCTACGTGCTCTGCTTTCAGTGTTACCGAGAGTAGGTTCCAAGGGAACCCCAAACTTGACTTGAAGACAGCCATGTTACTTGGCAAACTACTTGAAGAAAAACACAAAGTTGCCTTAGAGGGGTTTATGGATCATACATTTTGGTCACTATTGACTATGGTGACTGCTGTTGTGAGAATAGAGGAGAGGCCACCACATTTCTCTTATCTTTATCAGAACCCAGTGATCAATGTGGGGCCTTTGTTAAGACAGACTCTCCTGGTTAGCAGCCTGTTTGCATGAATAATGAAGCCTGATTTGCAAGCAGAGGCTGTGGACAGAAAGCTACAGACGGAGGGCTCCCCAAGAGTTCCAGCTGTATTTCCTGAGCTGGCTGAGTGGCCGATCAATGGTAAGGAAAGCCTCAGTTGTCCAGATGCATCATCCCACACTGAGTGCCCAGAGACCAGAGTTCTGATATGCAAAGTGAGCCTGAGACTCCTGTCAAACCAACAAACAGGATGTTGGCTGTGCAGCAAACAGGCCTGCAAGCTGTTGGCCGCCGAATGTTGGGCTGCCAGAGCCGGGTCCAGCCACAGTATGGGCACTGCCCCAAGAGCTCAGTGGCAATCTGTATTCCACTGCACACTCTCAGCCATGCTGCTGACCCTCCAGCCGGGCCGGCAAACGAAGCCCATGCCCAGGATGCAGACACGCTGTTGTGGCTCTACACATAGGCCCCTTTGTTCAGAAATACCTCATGCATGAGAGGACGCCTCATGCCTTGGCTCTTCTCTCCATGCCTGGAAAGAAAGGCATCCTGGTGGGGATGTCTAGTCACCAGCGCTGGGGGTGGGCTTGGAGAGTCTTCTTACAAGCACGGGGGTAGCCTCAGAGGGTCTTACTGAGAGCTACTTGGCTGCTGCACATCTTAAAATAGAGATGAAGGGGCTTGGCAGGAAGTGTGGTGAAGCCTCTCTTGGGTGTCTTAAAGGCCTGTGTGGGGCTGGCCAGGGCCCCTGGCAGCCCTGCTTAGTAGATGCATTGGGCAAGTGCCACAGTGAAGGCGCTGTTGGTCCTGGGGCTTTAGTGCAATCCTTTCAGTAACAAAGGGGCCTCTTGCTCTAGGTGGAGAAAAAGCTGAGGAGCAGAATAGAGTCAATGTGAAGCCCAGGACCCGTTGAGTAATTGTCATTTTCGTCTTTCATAGCTGTGCCACGGGCCCTGAAGTGGCCTTCCATCAGTCGAAGAACACTCGTGTCCAATTCAGGGCCTTCTCTCAGACTCTAGCTGTACCAGTCGAAAACTGAGACATCGTACATGTGAGGTGATCCACGGGAAGAGGGGTCATCAGGTTGCCATCTCCGAGGCCCTCACAGCACAGATCAATGGACTCCATTCCTGCCCCAGTCCCAAGAAATGAATTCCTTGTTTGTTGAGCATCGAAGAGTGGAGCAGAACGTTACTGAGTGCCCTGAAAGTTTGCTCCGTGACCCAACAAGCATCGCTGTTGCATGCTTTGCAGCTTTGCAACAAGGAGCAGAGTGACAGGGGTGTCCCTGGGCGAAAGGTCTCTGGGGACCTTTTCTACTGACCAGGAAGAAGTGAGAGCACTTGTCAGGGAGGTGGCTGGCCCAAAGGCTGGCGGCAAGCGACTGAAGGCTCTGGGCCATTGCTTTCTCCTACATTGTGGGATGTCCCCCAGAGAAAAATGACCCCGTTCACACCACCCTTCACCTAGTGAAGCACACAGAAGGGTCTGAGCTGAGTGGTGACGTGACTGGCTGTTTGTGTGAGTCTGCGTGTGGTATGTGTATACTTTCCTATGTAGGAGCAGCCACACCTGTGTGACAAAAGCCAGAGGAAGACACTTGGGGTCCTTCTCTCTCATTGCCTGCCTTAGTCCCTTGAAGCAAGGTGTCTAGGTGAGCATGGAGTTAGGCTAGCAGCCAGCAAGCCTCAGCGTCCTTTCGGCCTCTTTCCCATAGTGTTCACAGCAGCTTCTTTTTTAACTTGCTTCCTGTGGATTTGAACTCAGGTCCTCATGCTTGAACAGCAAGCATTCTTTGTTGATGAGCCGTCTCTCAAGATCCCACTCTGCCGGGTTACTAATGCATGAGTATGTGTTTGTTACTTGGATTGGGAGGAAACATTTCTTTGCATTTTGAGTCCATCTGCTGCTTTTCTTGAATGGATCCCCAGTCCGGCATTCCGTGCACGCTGCTGCTCCCAGGCCTCTGCAGGACACCCCAGCAGGCGGCCACTGAAGCTGAACTAGGCCTGCACCAAGAACAGTTCTTCCTCCCCCCACCCCTGTGCAAATTAGCTGGCTCCATTGCCACCCAATTCTAAGAACTGGGGTTTCAGCCAGGCGTGAGACAGGCACACTCCAGTTAATAAGGTACCTCTGTTTGTCCTGGTGTCTTGCACATCTTTTTAGGGATCTAGCCAACCTCTCTTGAACTCTACTATTTTTTTTTAACGAATCTTCCCCCTCCTGGCTTCCCACCTTATAGCCATCTGGCAAACATTTGGTAAGTTCATTGGTTGTGGCACTCAGTGGGCTTCTAGGGAAGCAGGATGGCCAAGGGCCATCTCTGTGAGTGCACTAGAGCGTGCTCTGTTCTGGAAGGTCTTGTGCCTGAGAAGTTCAGTTCTCTGCTGTGGTCGCATGATCTTTATTTCACTGTTCATAATCTTTTAATACACATCTATTTCAGTCCTTACAATAATCCTGAGAAATAAGAGACCTGATCTCCATTTTACAAGTAAGGAAACTGAGACAGCATTCAAAGTCCCAAGGTTAACAGAATCTTTGCGCTTGCTCAGGATGTCTGACAGAAGCTCAGGTAGTTCTCACCCCGGAGCTCTTCCTCGCCCTTTCCTTCTTGCCAGGCCCCTCTCAGCTGGGGGCCTTGGACTGGTCCACTTGAAGGGCTCAGGGGAGAGTTCCAGAGCTGGGACAGTTCCTTATCCACCTTCTTTGGCCTCTGCTGCACATCACCTTGTTTTTCCATTCCAAACTATAAAAAAGAAATAGAAACAGTGACAAGAATGTTCTGTTGCCTCATAAGGAACCCACCTGCTGGCCACTGCCTGGAAGTCTCTTAAAGAGGCACAGTCCATTCATTCTTCAAGTATAAATAAAAAGCCTCAACACACCAAAATGAATATGTTCTACTCAAGTTCAAATGATAATGGAATATTCCATCACACTTGTTCCGAGAAAGCAGAAATAAAACTGCCAGCATTACACAGACTGTGTTCTACAACAGTGCTACCAAAATCTCTTCAACTCAAATTATATATATTTGAGCATCTACTAGGTTCCCAGCAATTGTGTCCAGTTCAAGGGATGAATTAGTTACCAAAACAGATGCAGTACTTTTCCTTTTGGGGCTGAGATTAGTTGAAGATACTGCAGTTTGGATCTTGAATGATTCAAAGGCCCGTGCGTGAAGGCTTAGACTCCTGCATGTAGCACTTATTGGAGACGGTGGGCTCTTTAAAAGTTGGGACCTCAGTAGGAATATGTTAGATCACTGAGAACATGCCCTTCAAGAGGATATTGGTACCCTAGCCCTTTCTTTTATCTCTGTTGCTTGGCAACCATGAGATTAACAACCCTCTTCTGCTACACACTCCTGCTGTGTACTATCCTGCCATAGGCCTAAAGTAGTAGAGTCAAGCAATCATGGACTGAAACCTTTGAAACTGTGAGCAAGAATAGACTGTTCCTCCCTCTTGGGTATTTTTTTGTGACAGTGACGAAAAGTCAAATCAGAGGCATCTTTAAAGTACATTAGCAAATGGCACACGTTGATAGAATACTATGGAGCAGGCATGAACCTTCCCACTGTGACTGTTCATCTTCACAGTCAACTTGACTAGATTTAGAGTCACCTAGGAGACACACATATCTGTGAGGGTGTTTCCAGAGAGGTGTAACAGAAGGGACTAAGAGGCACCCTGTGGGCAGCACCATCGTGTGGACTGGGTTCCTGGGCTGAATGGAAAGAAGACAGCGAGCAGACAGAGCAACCACGTTCATTTCTCTCTACTTCCAGAGTAAGGATGCACTGAGGCCCGTTGCCTCATGCTCTTGCTACCATGCCTTCCAGACCCTCCAGCTGCGAGCCCAAACGTCCCTTCCTTAAGTTGCCTTGTTTGTCAGGTATTTTGCCACGACAGTGATGAAAGTGACATACCAATTGGTGTGCTACCATTTCTTCACCCACTACAAAGGACACACCTTGCAACCCCATAACAAGCACAACACACAAAGCTCTCACCACACCGGAGCCTTCAGAAACAAAGCCTCAAAGACCTAGAGAAAACTGCCTTTCCAGGCTGATGGAAGAGGTGGCTAGTTTGAGGAAACAAACTCAACCAAAAGAGAGTGGCCAATACTGACAGACGTCAGAAGACTCAGCAGCGCTGGTCCGGACTCTTACCTGTGTTTCTATGCTCATCCACAGGTGTGGGCAGACTCTTGCCACCTACAGACCTTCAAGGTAGAAGGGCACTGCTCAGAGCACGTCCTTGGAAGGTTTTAGACCTTGGTTTGTTGCAAGGAGGGGGAGGAGAAAACAGAGATATTACATGGTGATCCTTCGTGGGGGGCGGGGGGGGGCAAGACAGAACTTACTTCTCAGTCTTCCAACCCTCTCTGGTTCAAACTGCCCAGGTTGCCATACTTCATGACGACATTTGGGAGCCCCAATACCAAGAAGAGAGAATTGCACATTCGAAGGGCCGGGAAAACATGTGAATGTGAGAAAGGCCGGGAGATCCCAAAAGCAGTGACCATGAGGAAGACAGCAGCTGTAGATCAGTACGGTGGGCGGGGCATACCGAGACTGGCCCAGGAAACCTATAGGGGGTCTTAAAGCAGACTTTAAAGGGCAAGATGAAGAAATTAAGGACTTTATAACAAGAAGCCTAACATAAGTGCTATTTAAAAAAAATGTAATTACAGCACTCAGGAGGCAGAGGCAGGCAGACCTCTTTGAGTTTAAGCCAGCCTGGTCTACAGTGTGAGTTCCAGGACAGTCAGGGCTACACTTAGAAACCTTGTCTCAAAAAAAGAAAATGAGTTGGGTAGTGCTACTGCTCAGTTGGAAGAATGCTTGCCCAGCGTGCACAAAGTCCTGGGTTCCATTGATAGCACGGCAAGTCTGCCACCAGGCCTGTAATCTCATCATCACTCAGGTGGCAGAGACCTCCTGATCCTTCTCTGCTACACAGGGGATTTGAGGCCAGCTCAGGCTACACGAGAGACAGTCTCAAAGCAATGAATTCTGTTGCAAGGTGAGGCGGAGTGGAGACAGCCATAAATTCCTGTAGATTTTTTCAGGGATGCTGTGGTGGGTGCTGAAGAAGCAGATGGAGGGTGGAGGGCGGAAGATTCCGGAGATGCTGTGGTCCTGTGGAATGAAACTGATGAGGTCTGCTGATGCAGGTGGGGATGGGGGAGAGGGGAATCCAAGCATGACTTCTGGATCCTCTCATTTACTTGAACAACAAGGAGGAGGATGGTGCCAGGGTTCAAGAAGAGACACCAGAGGAAGGACAGACTCTGGAGGAAAAAAGTTTGGGGCATGCTAAGGTTCAAATGTGTATGAATGTGGAGACAATAGACATTTCCCCCTCAATGGATAAAATTGCTTTTCCTGACCTAGCAGCTGGGCCGTGTCAACATCCAGCCCACCCTGGCTTAGTCTTCCCTAAGTCCACCAAATGCAGTGCTTAGAGAGACTGCACAGAAACAAATGTTCCGCTGGCACCGAATGGTCCTCCCCCCCCCCGTGCGTTCTTCATTTCCTGGCAGGAGCATCAGGGGAGAAATCGATCGCTGCCATTTGCCCATGGAAGATGCTCTTGCTCCTCACTGCAATGCTGAGCCTTGATCCCCAGCAGCTCTATAGCCACAGGTGGGAGCTGAGAGCCCACGGGGGGGGGGGCAGACACCCACCTCAGGCACCAGCCAAGCTGTGGCTCTGCCTGTCAGCCTGGCTAACGGGATGATGGGCCGCTATTGACAGAGCTTCATCTCTCAAAAGGCAAATAAAGCCACGGAGCAAGAGGCAGTCGCAGGAGAAAGGCCCGTTTCAAGATCCCGTGAGCAGCCCACAGTTCGTTTTTTCCTAAATCTGTTCAGTGATTATATTGTTTTTAAAAAGAAAGAGAGCAAAACAAGATCTTCACGGTAGCTATACAGTGCCTGCTATGATTTTATCCCCTGCTCCAGCAAGTTTTTAGTCAATAGTAAAGAACCTTTCCCAAGCTGTGCTCAGCCTGCAGAAGGCTTGCCAAGCTCTTCTCCCAAAGTCCCACTGCACCAACATTTCGGTGCTTCCGGCCAGCCTGCTCCCACACTAGCACCGCAGGTTTCCTCCTCTGAACCAAACAGGGCTGATGGCAGCTAAGTCTCTCCTCCTCCCCTGACCGGGATCCCCTCTGTCTCCTTCACATCTTTTTTAATGATAAATATAAAAGCCACAGTTAGTAATGACTAAAGTACCTCGAAAGAGAAATAATAATGGTGTGTTCTTGCATTAAAAATGAATGCCTGGCCTCTGGCTCTCTAGACGTGCAGAGGCTGGGCGAGGATTAAAGGTGAGGCGACCATGGTGAGTGATGGAGGTCAAAGGCAGGTCAAGGGAAGGCAGGCTAAGGAGCCGTTTCACCAAACGTACCTCCACTCCGGCCAGTGCTAGCCAAGGGTAGCTGTGCTAGCCAAGGGTAGCTGGGGGCTTAATAGGTGGGCTTTCCAGCCTCTGAGGATTTCTAGGGAAACTGTAAGGGGGAAGCATGCACAGGCACAGGAAGTCGTGGGAAGGGCAAACCCTTCAGGCTCCCTGATGCGTCCCACCCACGCCCTGGCCAAGTGTCCTGCCAAAAGGAGCTCCTGTGCATTCTTCCAGATTATGCGATTCAGAGACTAGGCTCCACAGTTCACACGGCAGGCAGGGGCAGGGTTCTACTGGACTTCAGATGCAAAAGGCAGGGAACTAACCTGGCTTCCCAAGACTAAAAGGCACTGTGGCACCGTGGTCCTCCTTGACTAAAGTCTGTTCTCTCACCTCTGAAAGCAATGGAGGACAAAGTGGGGGAGTTGAGCCTGTACGAGGAGGGGTATAAGGATCCGGAGGAGGAGGTAGCTGGTACAAGTAAGCGAGAAAGAACATAAGGTCTGTTTCCTGGTACACGGAATGACATCATCTTCTTTCTATAGCTTTCAGTAGAGGAGGAAAACCACAGAGACAGGCCCGGGTGGGTGTGAAAAGCAAGGAGTCTACAGAGTGTGGTGGGGACCCAGAGAGAAAAGACAAGCAGAGGGTGTTGGCTTCTGCTTGTGGTGCCTCCGGAACCCCCAGGGAACACTGAGGGAGAAAGAAGCCAGGTAGAGCTCAGAGTTCCAGGTCCCCATTTCTGGGACAAAGTTCTCAGAAGGTACACCAGGGTTATAGCAGAAAAAAGTGACGGTGGAAGTCAGCCAGTGCCCTGACCTTCCTCCTGAGACAGGGATGCTAAGAAGGGCCTTGGCCTCAGACCGTGTGTCCTTGGGTGAGGAGAATCTTGAGTGAAGAGAGCAGAGAATTTAATGAGTCACACCCATCGCTAAGACAAGAGAACACTATTATCCTTGGAGGGGATCAGAGGGATAGATTCCTTTTCAGCCTCAAGTCAGCTCCAAAGAAGGAGGTGCCGGCCAGTTCTTCGGTGTCCATTTAAACCAGCCTGTGGGGGTTAGATCTCTGAAAGCTAAAACCTCCATAACCATTAGCATTGTTATACCGTGATTTGCCTTCCCTGCTCTTCTTTTACACCTCAGAATTGCTGCTGAGCCATCCAGGCTGAAGATGAATTAAAGGAGCTCTCCAGCTGGTGAAGACCCAAGTTCAGGGCTTTTATTAAACAGTTCTCCTCCCATTCTGTACGGAAATCTGAACAGGGGCCAAGCCTGAAAGGAGCCTCTGATGTGATTATTCTTATTAGGAGCATGGTTCAAACTTGCATAGCACGTAGCCACCAGGGGTTTTCAGCTCTGCCTTTCCAAGATGCCTCCATAGTGTCTACCAGCGCTTATCCCAGGCCAAAGCCGTAGAGTCCTCCACAGCCCGGTTTTACCCTCATCACCCCTCCCAGCAATATTATTCTGAGAAGAAAACCAGCCATTCTTAAGGTTGCCACCCTGCTCTTATGTGCTGTTCGTTCTGAACTACTCCGACCAGACACACAGCTGCCTGTGGAACAAGGGCACACAGTTTCTCCTTAGGGCTCTCCCAGGGTCTGAGGGCTCAATTCCCACTGCTTTGGTCAGGAGCCCTTCGGACAAAGTCCCGTATATCCAGTTATCTCCTGTATAGACAGGGGAGGGGAAATAGCTCCAGCTCCTTCCATCCGATCATTTCTTCACCTCCAAAGATCTCTCCCCTTCACTTCCGTGCCCTCCATCCTTTTCTGGAACTGTCAACCTGCCCTCCTCTAGAGTTGGTAGAGCTGTAGCCGAGGGAGCTGTCCAGTGGGAGCTCTAGAGCCTTCCTGAGACACAGGAACGCCTGCCTGAAGATATGGATCATTCTAGAAGGAAGACAACATTGCATTCTGCCTTCGTGTGCCCCGCTCTCTCCACAAGGTTCTCTTACACTAACCCAGCAGTGGCTTTGCCAATTCAACCCCCCCCACCCCGTTCTCCTGTCTTGTGTGTGCCTTGTGTGCTGACCATTCCAGATGTCCTCCATCTCTCCTGCCTTAAAGAAAGACTGGCTTACTCATCCTTTTATGACTCTGAGTGTTGAAAGACTAAAGAGCCCCACAATGCAGTAAAAGGAACCGCACTGGTTACAGTCTCACTGCTGTGACCAAATACTGGAGGGCTTGCTAGGTCTCTGTCCCTTTTAGCAATGGGGTCATATTGAGTACACTTCCTTTTTTGCTTCCCATTATTAACTTGACTCTTATTTCTAATTAGCTTACAGAGGGCAGATGACTGGACCTGACTTAGGAAACAGGTTGTGACCCCCAGCTTCAATAACACTGCTTAATAAGAAAATTTGGAAAATCTGGGACTCTGGATGAGAGCTTGGCTTTCACCAAAATGCAAGCAAGCTGTGTTGTTAGGACCAGAACCATGGCAGTATAATAGATGAGCTAACCAAACATCCCACATCCGCCAGGAGACGCTGGTAAGAGGTCAACATCTAGTAAGGTGATGAATAATGTGCACCTTTAGACACACACACACACACACACACACACACACACACACACACACACACACACTCACCCATTGTGCAGACTTTCTTAGTCCATCAGGGAGCTGGAAAGAAACTCAAAGATTATCCACCCATTCATTCGTGGATGAAGAGCCAAGGTTGAGGACTCTACCTGGCTGAGCGCAGCCTGGGGAGAGCAGAGCTCCTGCTGTGCTAGTCCACCCCACCTGGCTTCCTTTCGATTGCCCCTGTCCGGGGCATCCCCCTGGGAGTTCCCCTGTCTTCACCGCCCTCCCTTTTCCTTTCCCACAAAGTCAGTGCGGCTATCTTAGCTCTTCCCTTGCAGGCGAGCTGATCAGAGCCTGTAGGAAGGCGCAGCCCCAGGACCTCCATTCTCCTTGCTCCTAAGGCGTTCCTGTAATGATATTTAGGTTGTTTGCAGTTTAGGTGTTTGTACCACACATCCGGCGTTCTGCGGGGCTTCCCTTCTGTAAAACTATTGATTCTTTGTCTGGGCAACTGACAGGCAGCTTTGATGCGGGGATCTGTTGTGGTTCCTACAGGAAGGAGATATTGGTGGGAGGATTTACAGCTGTTTGAAGAATTCTACTGCTCTGGCAATTGTTAGGGAGGTGACTACTGGCTGCAGGCAGCTTCCCAGAACTCTGTCTCTCCAAGAGGAGAGAGAGGAAACCGAAGTGCCTCCGAATAAAGTTCTGAGTAATGAGATTGGTTCCGAAGGGATTTGTTGTTAGGCACTAAGAACTTCCAGACTCAGTCCGTAGCACCAGCACATTTCCAGGCAGAGGGGCTGCTCTAGTGGAGAAGGGACCAGGAAGGACACAGGAAGGTGTGTCTATTGTCCCCTTCTGCTACACGTTTCCCCTTTCAATTTTTCTGCTGTTTGAGAGTTCCTGTTCTGTTCACAGCAACTTTCAGCAAGTGAACAGTGCCTTCCGGGGACCTCCACTTCGCCATTCTGTCACTCTGCAGCACCGCCGTCAAGGTTTTAATGTGCGGTACTGTGTCCTGATAGACGATTAAGCTACAGCGCCACACATCACTCGGCTACAGCACAGCTGCAGACCGAGCGAATGTGTGCTCTCAGGAAAGCACCGTTTCCCTTAAGGAGAAGAGGCTGTGATCAACTGAGCATCCTCGCAAAGCAAGTCAAGAGGATGGTAGCGAGGGGAGAGGACAGACAGACAGCCTTGATCTAGGAGAAGCCAACTCTTCTCAGTCCCCACACCCTCTTCCTCCAGGGCAGCAGGGGAAACCTGGCCCGATGGCCTGGCAGTTGCATTGCTGAAAGAAAGCCCTTTGCCAACCCATGAATGGAAAGGTCACTTGGCACTCACTCCAGGCCCTTTCCCACTGGTCGCAGGGTGGGAAGGCTCTGAGACATGTGCTCATTTACATTAGTATGTATGTGGGGTGGGAGGGCTTGGAGCTTTCGTTTTCATGGTGGCTCTTTCTGTCTCAGCAGCAAACAAGGCAGGGATTTCAGACTCTGCTCTCTCTCAGCATCTCTGCGAAGGCTAGAGCGAACC